TTATTTCTAAATTTATAATTCACATAATACTGCATGCTTCGGTATTATACATATTTTATTATGATGTTTTATTTAACTTAGTTATGCGATCCTGATTTTGTTAGTTTCCTTTTATTTTTCACGTGGTATTGTGGTTTCCATATGCTTCAAGAAACAGATTGACCATGTATTAAAGAAAATTTGGGGAAGTTCATTTTTGACTTTGAAATAAATCTAATTTTGTCACGGAATACCAAATGGGAAGATTGTAAAGTCTAATTTCTAATTGTCAATTTCTTTAATCAAAATCACGTTCTAGTTGAATTGTATTAGGAGTTTATCAAGTTGTAATCAAAGAAAGTTTCAACGCATTTTTCATGTACAAATGGAATTTGGACAGGTTATTGTGGAAGAATTGTAACCATTTGAGTTAGCTTCCCAATGAATTTTGAATCACCTCAATCGGAAATTGGAAAAAAAAGTTATGGTAAAAATACTGACGATTGCTCAGACGATGTTCACTATCCGCCCACTAGCGCTTGAGTGGAGGTTTGATTTCAACAACCCCCAGTTTCCTTTAAACATGGTTTTTTCAATTGTTTTCATCCCAAACACTTTCTCCTATATATATCCTACCCTATGAAAGTCCCAAAATGTGTTAAATCAGATTTATTCCATAGAAATCAATTCTTTGATGATCCAAAATATTTATTGATTCCAAAATTCAACCACCACATGTTACTTAATTCATAAATTCTTCCAAACCATGTTTTGTTGATCAAGCCATAATGTTCCACATTAAACCATAGACCAAAATACACAAAATCTTTTGATCAAACACCAACCACCTAATTCGCCGAAGATAAACGATATGAGAGATTGGGAGCTGATGTAGAAACAAGCAGTTCGGAGTGCTAGTTAATATACTAGGAGCCGGGAGATGGTGTAAGGAACATGCAGTCCAAGAAGGCTGGGTGACATATCGGAGTCGGGATCGATGTGAGGAGCACACAGTCCAGTAAGAACAAGAGTGACAACAGAAAAAGAAGGTTGGAGAGAACTAAGGGTTAGTCAGGTCTAGACCACACTGTAAGTTGTTTCATTTATAGTTGATTATTGACTTAAAAAGTACCAGGTGTTTTTGATCTTTTGCGAAGTGTTTTCTCCATGATTATATCTGTGTTATTTACTGCTTTTTATTTACAAATTGCAGTATTTAAATTTAGGATAAAATTGACTTGGTTGACCTAATTATTTAAAAATAATTTAAAAGTGACTTGTTTTTAATTGTGTAATTCCGCACGTTGGGTCTAAATATTTGGTAAATTTAAACTTTCACCTTCAAGTTCTCCTTGTATCTCATTCAATTTTCTTCTAAATCTTTCTCCTTACTATTCATCTCCGAAAGTACTATTTTTTTTTTATGTAAAACATAAATCACCTCAAATCCCACAATTCTTCCCGAATTCTTACTATTCATCTCCGAAAGTACTATTTTTTTTTATGTAAAACATAAATCACCTCAAATCCACAATTCTTCCCGAATTCTTCTTATGTTCCAATTTTTCCTTTTTTTTCCACTGTAATCCTTTTCTAAACCCTACCTAAACTAAAAAAAATCCCTTTGTCTCTACTGATTGCTACGTAGAATTATTAATTGAGTTTTTGATCCAGAATAGTGTGTGAACGAACATATTTTCTCGTTCTATGTATCAGACTAAAACTTTTTATTGCTTGTATTTTTTCCCTTCAACGAATTTAAGTCTCGCGTAGAAAACTGCAATTCATTGTCATGTAGGATGTTATGTTTTTCCCTTATCTAATTAACTAGGCAACGTGGGCAAAAATGCCTCACCAAATCGACCAAATCAAGGGAGTTCTTGACGTCAAATTATTATAACAAAAAATAAAATAAAATAATGATATGAAAATAATGTTGAAATGGAAAACACATTTTTTAAACGGAAAAGACACCAAATTAGAGAGAATGCGTTTGTTATGATTTGCCATCAATATCGTTGAGTTAACTAAAATTATAGGAAACATGGGACGGTAGTAATTTAGATCTCTTTTTGTATAATATTCAGCAATTACGGGATAACATAGTTTTTATGGAATTATTCCTTTTTATTGATTCTTTAGTCACCACCCCACCGTTGTCATCAGCTTCATCGGGTTCCACGTCTGTTATCTGAATGCTGTTAGCAAATTCATGCATCGTTTGACGGCATCTGCTTCAAGACAATGTGGCATAAACTGCAGATTTCGGGATCACCATCAATTCTAAATTGCACGTGTTCGTCACCTACCTTGAACCACAAACATTTTGGGTTGACACATTCTCCACTTCAACACGCAGTTCGTAGGTTGTGATTCGGAGGGTCCTTCCTTTTCAACTCAAACGTTTTCATTTGTAATCCTTACTAGGTTCAACTCTCCGCCAACATCATATTCTATTTCCAGTCAATCAATCCTCTTATTTGTACTCAATTCAGTTGAAATCATGTCAACGAACTCCACATATTTGCAACCATTGGTACGAGAATTCCATTGGTATCAGTATTGCATCGTAGGAAACGTTCGTTCGCGCGGTCCATAACTGCAACCAAACAAAACAGAAAACTGTATGAAGTGCTGACTTTGGAACACAAAAGAAATTCTCTTTATCCCTGCTATCTTAAAAGAGGGAATCCATCCTTTACTGTTCATTTGTGAAGTTTTTTTTTAATCCCATTTTATCCATATTTATTCTCCACTATTCTTTCAAGTTTTACGGGTAATATGGACTTCCTTCTACCTATACACACAATTGTTGACTTTGAATCTCTTATTGCTTCTTGGGCAATTCACCGTTTACTGTTCATTTGTGAAGCTTTTTTTCATAGGCAATCCACCGTTTACTTGATT